AAAGTCCACTTGGTCAAGGTCAAAGTCAACTCCATCAAGACAAGTCAAAGTCAACTCATTCAATTCAAAAACCAAGTCAAACACTCACATCCCTCATTATGAACGGGATTGCAATTATTTTGGTTGGCTTTCCATGTTCTTAACCTTTTCATTTGCTTGTCTTTTCATTTCTCGTAAGTTATGTCTTTTCATTTACAAGTCTTTTCATTTCTTGTAAGTTACAAGTCTTTTCATTTCTTGTAAGTTACAAGTCTTTTCATTTGCTTAAGACTTTTCATATGGCTTGCTAGGATGGCTATATATAGCCTTGAGATGTCTTGTTGTAACACAATTTGAAGTTGAATGAAAAGTGAGTTTTCTCATTAGCTTGGTTGAGAGATTTATCTCCCATTTCTTGTGCAATTTCTCGTGTCTTTAGAATTTGCATGTTAGGATCATTCAAGCGGTGTTGATCATACCTCTTGTGGAGTGATTCGAATCACGAGTTTAGAAACAAGTTTTCTCTACTCTTGATATTGATCATCAAGGTAATCCGTTCTAAAACTTTTCCTTGGGTTGATTCCATACTTGTTTTCCGGGTTTTTGGGATTGAGTTCTATGGGTCTTGTTCGTTAGCAAGGTTCTTAGATCCAACTCTCAAGGGTTTCTTAATAGAGAGGGGCCGGGGGAGTGAAGCTTAAAATTCCATCCTTTCATGGGAGATCAGATCCGGAGGAGTATTTGCAATATGAAAGCAAAATCGAGCATGTATTTGATTGCAATAATTTTAGTGAGGAAAGAAAGTTGAAACTTGCAGTGGCTGAATTTTGTGATTATGCCAATATTTGGTGGACATCTTTGAAATCAGAATGGAGGAGAAACTATGAAGAACCAATTGAAACTTGGGAGGAATTAAAGGCCTTAATGAGGAAGAGGTACATTCCTAAGCATTATTCTCGAGAACTCAAGCAAAAACTCTATGCGTTGCAACAAGGATCCAAAATTGTGGAAGACTATTACAAAGAAATGGAGGCCCTTATGAATAGAGCTGGAATTGATGAAGATGCGGAGGATACAATGGCTAGGTTCCTTGGCGGGTTGAATCGACCGTTGGCTCATCAAGTGGATAGACAAACTTATTTTGATATGAAAGAGTTGTTACACCTTGCTGTCAAAATTGAAGGCCAATTAGCATGGGAGAAGGAGAACTCCAAGAGGTATACTTCTTCTAAGTCAACTTCTTTTTCTACTAATACTTGGAAAAAGAATGCAGATTTCAAACCTAGAGGAAAGTATGAGCTTGATAAAAAGGACAAGCGTGAGAGCTCCAAGGGCAAGGAAAAAGTGGAGGGATCTAAAGAGGTTCGAGAAAGAAACAGGGACATCAAAGGTTGGAAATGTCAAGGGATTGGTCATATTAGCCGTGATTGTCCAAACAAGAGAGTCATGATCATTAAGAATGGAGAAGTTGTTACGGATGGTGAAGAAAGTGACCAAGATGAGCTAATTGAAGAAAAGCTCCAGGAGGATGAGGAGGAATTGGAAGATGGGAGTCATTTGGCACTTGTTACAAGGAGACTTCTTAAAACTCAAGTTAAGGGGGATGATGTTAATGACCAAAGAGACAACCTATTCCACACACGGTGTTTAGTTAATGGGACTCCTTGTAGTCTTGTTATCGACAGTGGAAGTTGCACCAATGTAGTAAGTACATTCTTGATCAAAAGGCGGCAAATTCCAACTCAACACCATCCTAAACCTTACAAGCTTCAGTGGCTCAACGATAGTGGAACAATGAAGGTTGTTTCTCAAGCTTTAATTTCTTTTACCTTAGGAAAGTATACAGATGAGATTTTATGTGATGTATTACCTATGCATGCCGATGACATCTTGCTTGGCCGACCTTGGCAATTTGATAGGAAGGTCATCTATGATGGTTATTTGAATAGGTACTCTTTTACAAAAGATGGTAAAAAAACAACTCTTGTACCTTTGCGTTCGGAAGATGTATTTGCTGATCAATTAAAGTTGGAGAAGAAAAGAAAAGAGTTTGAAGAAAAAGAATTGAAAGAAAAGAATGAGATGGGTGAAAAAATAGAGGAAAATGAGAGAGAAAGAAAAAGTGGAGAAAAGAGCGAAAAAAGAGATGAAATTGATAGAAAAGAAAAGAAAGTCAGTTGTTTGGCTARAGTGGGAGAGGTGAGAAGAGCAATGTTTTCCCAAAAGCCCATATTTGTACTTAYKTACAAAGAAGGGTATTTGGCTTCTAACGATAACCTTTTGCCTTTGCCGAGTTTGTTTCAACCTCTTTTGCAGGAATTTGAGGACGTGTTCCAAGAAGATATACCTAAAGGGTTACCTCCAATTAGAGGTATTGAACATCAAATAGACTTCATACCAGGGGCTACCATTCCAAATAGGCCAGCTTATAGAGCAAATCCAACTGAGACAAAGGAAATTGAAAGGCAAGTGGAGGAGCTCATGGAGAAAGGCTATGTTCGCGAAAGTTTGAGTCCATGTTCTGTACCGGTCATATTGGTGCCAAAGAAGGATGGAACTTGGCGCATGTGTGTGGACTGCAGAGCCATCAATAAAATCACTGTAAAGTATCGTCATCCTATTCCTAGGCTAGATGATATGCTTGATGAATTTCATGGTTCTTGTCTATTTACAAAGATTGATTTGAAATCTGGATATCATCAAATTAGGATGCATGTAGGAGATGACTGGAAAACAGCTTTCAAAACTAAATTTGGATTGTACGAATGGCTTGTTATGCCTTTTGGGTTAACTAATGCTCCTAGTACATTTATGCGCTTAATGAATCATGTTTTGAGAGAATACTTGGGGAAGTCTGTTGTTGTGTATTTTGATGATATTTTGATTTATTCAAAGAATTTGCTTGAGCATGTAGAGCATGTTAGATCCGTTTTGATTACACTTAGCTTTATGCTAATTTTAATAAGTGTTGCTTTTGCATGGAAAAGGTTAACTTTCTTGGCTTCATAGTTGGTAAAAATGGAGTTGAAGTTGATGAAGAGAAAGTTAAGGCAATTAGGGATTGGCCAACACCAAAAAAAGTCAGTGAGGTTCGGAGTTTTCATGGTCTAGCTAGCTTCTATAGAAGGTTTATAAAGGACTTTAGTACCATAGCTGCACCATTGAATGACTTAGTGAAAAAGAATGTTGTTTTTGAATGGGGGGAAATGCAAGAGAGAGCTTTCAATGAACTTAAGGGAAAATTAACCAATGCATCATTACTTGTCTTGCCTAACTTTGATAAAACTTTTGAAATCGAGTGTGATGCAAGTGGTTTGGGCATAGGTGCTGTTTTGATGCAAGATGGAAAGCCCTTAATGTATTTTAGTGAAAAACTAAATGGGGCTTCGTTGAACTATCCTACCTATGATAAAGAATTGTTTGCTTTAGTTCGTACATTGCARGTATGGCAACACTACCTGTGGCCGAGAGAATTTGTGATCCACACCGATCATGAAAGCTTGAAGCATCTTAAAGGTCAAAGCAAGCTAAATCGTAGGCATGCAAAGTGGGTAGAGTTTATTGAAACATTCCCCTATGTTATCAAATATAAGCAAGGTAAGGACAATGTGGTTGCTGATGCATTATCAAGAAGGTACAATCTCTTTACTTCTCTTAGTGCAAAATTTCTTGGATTTGAGCATATGAAGGACTTATATAGAGATGACCATGACTTTGGAACTATTTATGCATCTTGTCTTGGTGGGAAGCTGTGGATGATTATTATGTGTTTCATGACCTTTTGTTTAAAAAAAGTAAGCTTTGTGTTCCTAAATGTTCTATAAGAGATTTGCTTGTGAAAGAAGCCCATGGGGGTGGATTGATGGGACATTTTGGGATTCATAAAAGTTATGATATGTTGCATGAACACTTCTTTTGGCCTAAGATGAAACATGATGTGCATAAGGTTTGTAGACAATGTTTTAAATGTAAATCAACTAAGTCTAGATCACAACCAAATGGTTTGTATACTCCCTTGAATGTACCTAATGAACCTTGGACTAATATATCTATGGATTTCGTTCTTGGTTTGCCTCGAACTAAAAAGGGTAGAGATAGTATTTTTGTTGTGGTGGATAAATTTAGTAAAATGGCTCACTTCATAGCATGTAACAAGACAGATGATGCAAAGCATGTGGCTGATTTATTCTTTAGGGAGGTGGTAAGGTTACATGGCATTCCTAGAACTATTGTTAGTGATAGGGATGTTAAATTTTTAAGCCACTTTTGGAAGGTGTTGTGGGGTAAGTTGGGTCCTAAATTGTTGTTCTCAACTACATGTCATCCTCAAACTGATGGCCAAACCGAGGTGGTTAATATAACATTGGAAGCATTACTTAGGACTATTATTTCAGAGAATATTAACTCTTGGGAAGAAAGTTTGCCATTTGTAGAGTTTGCATATAACAGGGCAATTCATAGTACCACACATTGTTCTCCTTTTGAGGTTGTTTATGGATTCAATCCACTTACACCCCTTGATTTGCTTCCTATTCCATCTAATGAATTTGTGAGTGATGCAGCCACAAGTAAGGCCGATTTGATCAAAACCTTACACAAAGAGGTCAATGAGAGGATTGAAAAACAAAATTCAAAAGTTGCTTCACGTATTAACAAAGGACGGAAAGAACTGATTTTTCAACCGGGTGATTAGGTTTGGATACATTTTCGCACGGAGCGCTTTCCCTCGAAACGGAAGACAAAGTTACATCCACGAGGGGCTGGTCCTTATCAAGTTCTTGAAAGAATTAACAATAATGCATACAAGATTGATCTTCCAGGTGACTTTTCAGTAAGTTCTACTTTCAATGTTGCTGATTTGAGTCCTTTTGATGTAGGTGATGACTTATCTGATTCGAGGACGAATTCTGTTGAAGAGGGGGAAGATGATAAGAATCATGGTGTTCCGCACGTCTCCACTGGACCTATTACACGAGCCAAGGCTAAGAAGCTTCAACAAGCATTCCTTATTCACGTACAAAATTGGATAGGCTCAGTTCAACCTTTATTTCAGATGCTGCAAAATAATCCAAGCGAGGACGATGTTGTGAAGGTCAACGTTTGCAAGATTGACGTTGTGCCAACATTTTAAAGATTCATTGTTGTTTCTAAGTCATCAAACTTTGCTTGTAATTTTTGAGTTTTTGGTCTTCCAAATTATGGTTTCAACTTTAGAGTTCAATT